AGCCAACACACACACACACACACACACACAACACACACACACACAGACACACACATTGGCAAGGGTTGGGACTGGCAGTCTGCTAGGATTGCAAGGTTGGTGTGAGTAGAAAAAAAAAAAAAGTTGACCACTTTTCTCAGGGGTGTCGCTGAGTCCTTATCCATCAGTCAAATGCATCCATCCTGGTCAGACTGTCTGTCCAGGTTCGACCTCGTGATGAGTCGGTGAAAGTCCTTATCCATCAGTCAAATGCATCCATCCTGGTCAGCCTGTCTGTCCAGGTTCAACCTCCTGATGAGTCGGTGAAAGTCCGACGATACAGTCTGGCACAGTCATGCTTTTTTGAGTATATAGCGAATATGACAACACACAGACACACACACACACACACACACACACACACACATTTAATCCTATCTCGACAGACACAGGTGATTCCGGGGCGAAGACCCAGAAAGACCCCCTTACATGGATTCTTCGTTTCTGGCCATTGATCTAGGTAATCTACGGTCCGAAATGAAGAGCAAGGGTATGTGGGACCTTACCCCTGACGATTCAGGATAAGATTGTGTCCAACCTGTGTGTTCACCATGGGAAGTGGATTTCCTATTTTGTTTCTTCCTTCTTGAATTGAATCGTTTCCTCCGGCACTGGGCCCTTGTGTCCTCTAAGCCTTCGCTCAAATTCTTCTAATGTTCGACCATTCTTTCCTTTTTTTTTTTCTTTTTTCTTATTTTTAACAAAGGTGTGACCATCCTTTATGCCGAGCTCCATATTCTAAATTTGCATACCACAATATCGAATATATAGAGTGGAAAGACGAAGGGGGGAATTACCAACGAGCCTAGCTCAGTTGATACACCCATGAGCTGTTGAATTACAGACCCGAGTTCGAATCTGTGCAATGACATAATTCTGAATTACCTGGGGCCGGCCAGGGAGGTGGGCCCACTATTAAAGAGGATCGGATCTGCACGACTGAATCGTGGCATGTTCGTGTAGAGGAGCAGGAAACCGAGATGGAACTGCTGCTCTGCATCTCTGCACAAAACACATCTGGATTTGAACTTGGGTCTGTATTTCAACAGCTCATGGGCGTGCCCACCGAGCTAGGCCCGCTGGTTACAGTCCCCATTTCTTGGTTTCTGCCATTATATTCTGCAGAGAGATCATGCAGATCTCCGGAATTTTTTTTGTCCAAAATTCACAGCCTCTGCGTTCCGTGTGTGCGTGTGTTGTCATTGGAGCACGAGGCCCATTCTTTTCTTTTTCTGGGGGGGGGGTAACTACACGGGAGTCACAGAAAAGGGTTATAATTGCACTATGGGCCAAGATACAGTTTGCAATTGTACTTCGGGCACCTTACCTGGCCAGAAAGCTGGGTTGTATACATTGCCCGAACGGCAATTTGAAACTGTATCTTGGCCCATAGTGCAATTATAACTCATTTTTTCGACTCCCGCATAGTTTCCCCCCCTTTTTTTTCTTTTTTATTTTCAAGTTTTTCTCTCAAATCTTTCATCATCTTTCAAATTCTTTCAATCCACCTTCACCACCTACCTGCCACTACTCCTAAGGCTTATACAGGGGATCCCTGCGAACATAGCTTTGTCGTCTCGCTCCAGCCATCAGAGAGGGGTTATCAGAAAGGGGTTATCAGAGAGGGGCAACATAACCGTGGTGGTCAAGGATAGGGTGGAGCAGCCAGTGGGGGTCCGTCTGACGCAAAGACCAGGCATTTTGCCAGTAACGGTGCCTCCCTTTTCATGCCACCCCCAACCGAATAACAGCAGTATCTAAGGCCAACACCCACCAACACAGCACACTCAACCCACTCACACTCGCACTCACACCCCTCTGCCGTATGAAGGAGACTATCACCGGTGGTTGGCACTAAGTGCGCCGCAGGCAGTTATGGGGCTCGAACCCACAACCTCCTGAATGCCACTTGCATGCCTAACCAACTGAGCTCGGCCGTACTCAACGCCACAAAAACGAAGCTCGTCTGCGCCAGACTCTGTGCGTGTGTGTGTGTGTGCTTGTCGTTCTTTATTATTTGTCCTTTCTCCTTTTCCTTTTGAAAGGGCGATGGCCTTTTGACGATGGCCTTTTGAGGTATCATCGTTGAACTGACCAGCCCCAGGTAAGGGCCTCGCCACACCACTGTCGAAGCCGAAAAAGTACGAGTGCATCTTCCCGCAGAGAATGGCAAGATGCATCGGTTACTACGAATAGCAACGGCTGCATCTTACCGCTTTCTGAAGTAGATGCATTCGTTATTTTTTCGCTTTGACAGTGATTTGGTGAGGCCCTAATTCACAAGTATTTTATTCTGGTCATCTGATTGTGACTGAACTTGAACATGGGTCAGACGTAAGTATTTTTTTGGCTTCGACTGAACGTGAACTTCGGGGGTGTACCAACTGAGCTAGGCTCGTTAGTACTGTGTTTTCCTTCACACTATACTCTACTCCACACACACACAAAAAAAAACATGCCTGTGCCAGACTGTTTCATCAGACTTTCACACACTCATTAGGAGGAGGCTGAACCTGGACAGACAGTCTGCCCAGGACGCATTTGACTGATGGTTAAGGCCTCATCACGCCAGCCAGAGATTCTTTTTAAAAAGCATGTCTGTGCCAGACTATTTCGTCAGACTTCCACGGACTCATTAGGAGGAGGTTGAACCTGGACAGACAGTCTGCCCAGGATGCATTTGACTGATGGATAAGGCCTCATCACGTCAGCCAGAGATAACGATAACGATACCCCTGAACAAAGTTGTTCTCGACTTTACTCACACCAACCCTGCAATCCTAGCTGCCTGTCGGTCCACAAACCCTTCACAAGAATGGCAGTAAGTCTGAGAAACTAGTCTGTCGCAGTGTGTATGTGTGCGCGCGCGGGTGTGTGTGTTCTCATGGTCGCTATATACAACTCCCTTAAAAAAAGCATGACCGTGAGGTGTGTGTGTGTGTGTGTGTGTGTGAGAGAGAGAGAGAGAGAGAGAGAGAGAGAGAGAGAGAGAGTGTGAGAGAGAGAGTGTGTGTGTGTGAGAGAGAGAGAGAGTGTGTGTGTGTGTGTGTGTGTG